GGGGTTCAGGGTTCAGGGGGGTTAGGATGGTCAAGTGGCACGGGCTGCTCCACCCACAGGGTGAGCTTTCGGGTGGACCAGGCTGGCTGCTCTGGGATTAGAAGTAATCTAGGGGCATAAATAATATATATATATATATAGAGTATATGTTTAATATTATACCCAGAAGCCTTATTCTAAATCTTAAGGTCCTATATCATGGTACCCTTCTAGTAAACTTGTGGGCGAACTCTCCGTGCAGAGAAGAAGCTCGTGCCAAACAGATATATTTAAAACATATAGGGTTTCGGGTTCAGCATATATTCCCCTAAGGGTCCATGTACTCATATAGTATATACATTGGCCCCAAAAGTACCTATATAGGGATTACTTCAAGGCCAAAGTGTATACTATTTGGGTAGATGGACCCTCAGGGTTCCTGAAGCGAGACCCCTCCTCTTGCCGCAGGCATGGTAAAACACCTTGCCAATACCCATGGCGACACCTGGCAGCATTGGTAGCCGTAAGGGGAGGCCGTCGAATTGCGAAAACCTCGACCAATATAGGGGGATAATAATTACCAATACTATTTTGTGGGTTCCTTATGATAGTTATAGCATAATATACCCAAAATCCAAGTCCAATTATTAAGGCCCATCGATTAGGCGGTTTAGCCAGAACCTACTTCATTTTTCCAATCGCGTAATCTCAAGCCATGAGGTCTCCGCCAAATCCAAAACCCTAAACCCAAAACCCGAAACCCTAATAAACCATGCGCAGGGCCTATAAGCCCTATGAACCCGAAACCGAAACCCCGAGCCGCACGCCTCGAGCCCGCGACGGCCCTATACTAAATCCCCTAAACCCTAAACCCTAAACCCCCAAACGCTTGACGCTAAGCCCCTCAGCCCGAGGTTTGAGGGGTTTGAAGGTCTAAGGTCTCCGAAACTTCCGAACCCTAAACCCAAAACCCTAAACCCTAAACCCCCTAAACCCTAAATCCTAAATCGCTGTTCCGAGGATCTTGGGGCAGCTGACAAGCTTGCACAGCGCGCTGCCTTCATGAAGCAAGGCACCGTTTTCCAAGGGTCCAGGTTGAGGGTTTAGGGTTTCGGTTTTAGGGTTTAGGGTTTAGGGTTTAGGGGTCTAGGGTTTAGGGTTTAGGGGTTCGGGTATGTTTGGGGTGTTATCAGAGGGTTCCGTTTTAACTATGCAACTTAATGTGCCTTTTCATGGGGTTTGCGATTTCAGGGTCTTACGGTGATCAGACTTCACGCTTTCAAGTTTAGGGTTTCGGGGTTTCGAGAAGCTTAGTGCTTCCTGACACCCTGTAGCCGCTACTGTAGCCTACAGCCTTAATCCTGAACACCCTATAGACCCTCGATCGCATGAAGGGTAGTTGTGTGTGGGATAGTAGCAATACTTGGAGTAGCTTTTGAAAATTTGAGAGTGTTACGACACAACCTCGCTTAGCTTGTACCCTTAGGGTAACTACACCATGAGTGAGCAGAGCCTGGGAGCAGCCCCTAAACCCTATAAGCCCTAAGCCCTAATGCTAAACCCTAAACCCTATAAACCCTATAAGCCCTAAACCCTATGGGTAGCTACACCATCAACACAACCTAACTTTGCCCTAAACCCTAAACCCTAAACCCTAAACCCTATGGGTAGCTGCATCTTGAGTGACCAGAGCCTGGGAGACTCTTAGCAGCTTCCAGGTCCCAACTTGGAGGGTCGGGGGACTTAAGTACATGGTTAGTTTACAGACTTATAACCCAGAGGGTCCGAGTACTCAAATAGTAAGGTTTTAGGTCCCCAAAACCATGCTCTGAATGGTTTTTGGACCTTGAAACCCTACTATTTGGGCACTTGGACCCTTAGGGAATGGTTAGTTTATAGACGTATAAGTACTATAACCCTCATTAAGGTCACTTTTAGGGTACTTATAAGTCTACTTTATAGACTTATAAGTACTATAACCCTCATTAGGGTCACTTTTAGGGTACTTATACGTCTACTTATTACCTACTTACTATGTCTCCCGACCGTCCAAGAACTAATCACCCTTGACAACGAGACTGATTAACCCTACCTATAGTCTCCATTCTAGTCCTTTTTTTGGTTTAACCAATTATCATATAAGGTATCCCCAAAAAGGAACTACAATGGAGACTACAGGTAAACCCTAAACTGGCATCCTCATCTCGGGTATCGGGCTAGGAACTGTCGGAGCTTCTTCACTTCCTGGCGCGTCACAGGGTATAGGGAAGCCGGGCTCCATCTACTTCGCGGTTGGGAAGCCCAGCACGGTTCAAGGTATTATTATGGTTTTGTGAAAACCCCCAACCCCAAGGCTCAAGCTAGCCCAGCCCAAAAGCCCTACATAGTATGATCTTCTGAGCCCAAAAACCTTAAAATATCAGTCTTTAGAGCCTTAAAGTAAGGCTCCATGTGCCTATCTATACAATATATACTTAGGCTTGAAAGGGGTTCCTATATACTTTAAGCCAAGAGATACATATATATATATATATACACACATACATATATATATATATATATTATGCACATACACTTGGGGTTCTTCTGGCTGGCTCAACTTTCTGGGTTCTATATGAACTATAGTTAGTAGGCCAACAGTTTAACTTTTAGGAGGGGTTCAGAAGTCAGCCAAGTATTTCTATAGATGGAGCCTCAAGATTCACTGCCTTCTTCAATGCGCACTGGACTTTTTGTTTGGGGTTTGCTTGCCGCAACAGCGCAGGCGGCGTCCATGATGAAACCAGCTAGTCTTTTCTTTATGCTCCTTGGTCAATGTTAAGGATCCTTTTGGTTTTTTATGGTTTTAAGTTACTTGTTTTCTGGTCACATCGCCAATGAATGTGGTATATCCGTATATTCTGTCAGTTGTAAAGTTATACAATGGCAACAAGGGGGCACACTTACTTCTGGTTCATACCCAGCTACATGAGCAAAGCTGTCTTGGGGCTTTAGCGTCTTAGGGTTTAAAGCTCAGGGATTTACGGGGTTCAGAGTCGCAGCCCTAGCCCACGCCTTCATTCAGGAAGGCAAGACCGACTCCTTTAACTTTGTATACCCCGAAACTAAGAACCACCAACAAAGCAACAACAACAAGTTCTTAATAGTGACCAAAGTACTGGAAAATCGATACATACGTTTATAAGTATGCATCGTACATAAGCACTAACAGGGTCGCAGGTTCCGCAGTGCTTTAACGCTGCCTTCTTCCTCTCTTGGATTCCGCTGCGCGCCCTCCTCGCCTGAGCTTGGCTTGGAGTCTCAGATGCCTACGGCTTAAGGTATAAGGTTAGGGCTTACAAACTCTAAATGTATAACCCTAGGGCTACTGTCAATGCATGCTCGCAAAACAAAGCTCCCAAATCTATACCATTTTCATCGAAATAGCCCAAAAGCCTTATGAAATAGGGTCTTTGGGCCCAGAAGCCTTAAGCTTTGAGGGTAAGGGATATACATACATATATATATATATATATATACAACGAAGAGAAGGATCGGGCTGAAAAGGCCTGGTGTCTAATGAGCCGAAGGCGTTCTTAGTTCTCCAGCTACCAAACCAGAGAGCCACAAAGTGCAAACATCCTGCTGCACACTTAGGGGCAGATTCCTAGGGTTTAGGGTTTAGGGTTGAGGGTTTAGGGTTTAGGGTTTAGGGTGTTAGAGTTTAGGGTTTAGGTTTAAGGCTGCTCCGTTTGGCAGCTGGAGCCGCATCGAACCGCTAGTGGCGAGAGATTCGGTGTTCCAATCCTGTTTCAAATCTCGCAATTTAAATTGCTTCCACGGTGCGGCTTGTTCTCTTAAGTCCCGGCATAGTCTGAAGAAGCCCTAACCCCCTAAACCCTAAGCCCTAAAACCCTAAACCCTAAACCCCTAAACGCTAACCCCCTAAACCCTAAACCCTAAAACCCTAAACCCTAAACCCCTAAACCCAAAGCCCTAAACCCTAAAGTAGGGTTGATCTTTGAGACCAGGATTCAGGTATTAAGGCCTGGGGGTTTGGGGCTCCAGAGTTTAGGGGTTAAGGCGTTTAGGGTTTAAAGTTGTGCCCCTGCATAAGTCTTTGAGATCTTCGGGGATCTTGTATCTGTACCGGCATGGGTAGTCTTTGCTGGCCCAGCTTGAACTCCCTAAACCCTATGTAAACCCTAAACCTAGGACATATTCAGGTGGGTAGTTACCGTTATAGGAGCCTTATAGAAGGTCTATATACCGTATAGCAGCCTTATGGGGACCCTGTACATCCTGAACTCCCCACCTGTAGGTAGTTTCCTTTGACTAAACCCTGTTTCGGCTACGGGAGTTTAAGGGCATAAAGCTCTGAGCATTAAACCCTAAACCCTATCCTGACTGGAAGGATCCCCCGAAGGGCCCTTGGGACACGAAGCCGCAAGAGGGGGTCCCACCTTTGAGGCGTCGTCATAGTCAGGATCGTATATCAACTCCCGAACTACAAACTGTATAACACCATCAGACTGTGATGAAGCCCTTCTCTCAGGGGCTGAGTAGGTAACCTTTAACCTTTTGGGGCTTATATGATCCTACTATAAATAAGAAGGTTAACCTTTTTTGGGCTGGGGTACTCAGCCCCTTAGTTCTATAACAAGAGCCCTTAATGGATTATGGATCCTTCAATCTAACCCTAATCCCTGCAGCTCAACGGCCCCCCTCCCCAAAGAAAACCCTAAACCCTGAACACCCTGAAGCCCTAAACCCAGCCAAAAAACCGGAACACTCGTAACGAGAACAAACCCCACCGTGTCTCACTGGGCCGAGCCCGGAGAAAGTTCCAACCAATTTCTAAATCTCTGCGCAGTCCTGCAAAGGCGTACGGCTTGAGGGTTACATACTTTCTATAGCTAGGGGAGTTCTTTTTATCGCGGTTCCGTTACTGATTTCTAAAACGGGCTCTTAGGAGTTCCAGTGAAGATGGCGAAAAGGGGCCTTTCAAACAGACGAGGTTTTCGAGTGGACTGTTGTGTATCATCTTGCACCAAAGCCCTAAACCCTCAACCTATGCTACAGGGACAGGCCTAGGGCTGATAGGGTTTTAGGTTGTAATTTATCGAGGTTTTGGGTTTCAGGCTGAAGGGGTGTAGGGATTTGGGGACGCCTTAGCTTTTAGCCCCAACGGGTCCTAGGTCTTGTTATTGGGGGATACTTCCCACAAATCATAAATAGTGTAATTCCTAATTAGAGAAACCCGACATTCTATTAAATAGGTACATAGCCATTGCCTGAGCATCAAAATAGCCCAAAAGCCTTATATCGGCCCAAAGGCCTTGTAATATGAGTCCTTTGAGGGTAAGGGTTTGGGAGTGTGATGGGACTTTCAAGATTTCTATTAACATTTCAGCATACCGTAAACACTAAACCCTAAACCGTACTGCACAGCCCCATTCCAACTGTGTTACGGCTGCAGTTAAGAAATCTGTATGGTT